ATCCCTGAGATATTGGAAGACTGCTATCATGTCTCCCCTGGTCCTTCTTTTCATTAAACTGGACATATCCAGTTTCTGCAACCGTTCTTCCTATGTTTTAGCCTCCAGTCCCCTAATCCTCTTTCTTGCTCTTCTCTGCGCTCTTTCCAGAGTCTCCACATCTCTTTTACACCGTGGAGACCAAAACTGGATGCCGTATTCCAAGTGTGGCCTTACCAAGGGATTGTAAAGTGGTATTAACCCTCCACGTGATCTTGATTCTATCCCTCTGTTGCTCTTCTCTGCACTCTTTCTAGAGTCTCCACATCTTTTCTACATCGTGGTGACCAAAACTCAATACAGTATTCCAAGAGGGAGTCTTACCAGGGCCTTATAAAGCGGCGTTGTTAGCACGTCGCGTGATATAACAGGATAACAGAGTTGGAAGGGACCTTGGGGGTCATCCAGTCCAGCCCTCTACTCAAACAGGAGATCTTTTGCCATTTCCCACAAATGGATCTCCAGCATGTTTTGGAAATCCTTCAGTAGGGATGGGGCACTTACCACTTCTGGTGGCAAGTCGTTCCCCTGATTAATTGCTCCCACGTCAGGGAATTTCTCCTCCCTGACTTGCAAACCAACTTCTGACTTTCCTGAAGTTCTGAGTTTCAAACTAACCCCAATTCCTGGCTTCCGTCTTGAGCCCTTTCCTGCCCCAGTGTCCACTACCTGTGTCATCCACAATCGTGGCCTGAGCGGCTTGACCGTAGAGATCGGCCACGGCGTAGATGTTCGGCGGGACGTTCCAGGCAGCTGGCCCCTGGGCCACCCCGTTGACGAAGAAATGCAGGGTCCCGTCCTCCTTCCGCACGACGCCCACCGTGTCTCCTGCCTGGGGAGGGGAGGAGAACAGCCTCAGAGAGGGGCAGGTGAAGGCATGGACACCCAGAGACACAGGTGAAAATAGAACAGAAGGAAGAATAAAATAGAATGTATAATAAAATATAGAATTAGAATAGAACAGAAATAAGAATAGAACAGAAATAAGAATAGACTAGATTGCAAATAAGAATAGAATAAAAATAATAGAATGAATAATAAAATATAGAAAGAATAGAAATAAGAATAGAATAGAAATAAGACTAGACTAGATTACAAATAATAGAATAAAAATAATAGAATAAATAATAACACATAGAATTAGAATAGAACAGAAATAAGACTAGAACAGAAATAAGAATAGAATAGAAATAAGAATAGACTAGATTGCAAATAAGAATAGAATAAAAATAATAGAATGAATAATAAAATATAGAATTAGAATAGAACAGAAATAAGAATAGAACAGAAATAAGAATAGAATAGAAATAAGAATAGACTAGATTGCAAATAAGAATAGAATAAAAATAATAGAATGAATAATAAAATATAGAATTAGAATAGAACAGAAATAAGAATAGAACAGAAATAAGAATAGAATAGAAATAAGACTAGACTAGATTACAAATAATAGAATAAATAATAACACAGAATTAGAATAGAATACAAATAAGAATAGAACAGAAATAAGAATAGAAATAAGAATAGACTAGATTGCAAATAAGAATAGAATAAAAATAATAGAATGAATAATAAAATATAGAATAGAACAGAAATAAGAATAGAACAGAAATAAGAATAGAAATAAGAATAGACTAGATTGCAAATAATAGAATAAAAATAATAGAATGAATAATAAAATAATTAGAATAGAACAGAAATAAGAATAGAACAGAAATAAGAATAGAC